TGTTCTGTCAATCTGGTTTCCAATTTTCTTCCTGTTTCTCCTTTGTATTAATGTGTATTTTTTGTTCTTGCAACAAAATTCGCACGTAGTTCTCTACTGTACTGTTGTATACCACAATTACTTCTTTCATCAACACTACTAATTTCATGTACCCTCTTCAGTTTTTATAGAGTTCATTCTGATGTAAAATTTTACCTCATTTTGTTCCACAGAGTACTTTCATCTCTACATGTTTGTCACATGGCTTATTATCTGAGTAGGCAAAAGTGCATTCACAATACTACTGTTGTACTGCCTGTAGTTTTATAGGTAGTATGCTAGTGTGGCATTGTAATTGGTTGAATTACAGATCACAGTGTAAAACATCTGAATGTAATTGTACTATGACACAGTTCATTTTCATACAACAGAAGGGAAGCTATCCCATAATGTTTGCATTTTATTGACTGTTTCCACAATTATTTTCAATATTATGTGTGTGTATTATATACTTATTTTTTAAATGAATTGTGAACAACCAAATCCACATATTACAGGCTTCATTGTTTGTGCTTTGGTACTTTAAGCTTCATATTACACCAACTGTTTAGAAAATTATTAGTATTTCATAACTGGATTAACCATAATCCAATGATATAGGCAGGTCTGGCTTGAGAAGAGTCCAAAGAACCTACCACAAAATTTTAGGGGAGCAAAAATTTAGAAAAAATACAAGCACAGAAAAAAAGGAATATTTGTGATGAAAGTTTGTGTGCAGAACTTAAATTAATATCATACAGAATACCAGAAAATTCGACTTCAGATAATGTTCTATTTTATATTTGTGAAAACCAAATCAATGAAATTTTTCCAAGCAAGTTTTATTGATCTAAGAATTTTATTAACTTTGCTCATTAGTGTGTCAAGTGGTATTGGATAGTTTTTGAGGCTAAAATTGATAAAAGCATTTTTGCATTCCGCAATGGGAGAGAGAGATTAAACCGTCTAGAAATAATTTCTTTAGAAAATGAAACAGCCAGAGAAATGAAGGCCAGGTTAAATATAGTCAAGTTCCATTTTATATAGACTAATCTGTTTTTCTTTTATATGTATTTTTGTATTCTGAACTTAAAGACAAATAAATAAAAATTTGAAAAAAGGGCACAAATTATTTTTGCACCTCTCAATTTTTTAAAGTTGGCACTGGACAACAAAAAGGTAACAAAAAATGAACACAGACAGGTTGGTCATTTTACCTAGAATAATTTAATTTCTCCGTAGAAAAGGTGTACATGTTCATAGGGTGTGAAGTCAAGCTAGCATACAATATTCTTTCTGCCTATCTGATTGACCAAAACCTTAATCTTACAGAGAAACTGATACATTACCATGTGAACAGATTTTCAAAGTCACATTAAATGGGTGGAGGAAAAACACTAAAAAAAAATTTACCTTCTGCTAACAATTTATTTTCCTTTTTTGCCAAATAATTTTCATATCTGTAGTTGTTTCCAAAACTTCAAAACTAACCTTTGCCAAAGTTACACTGACTATCAGCAGTGGAGTTACCCGTTTTTGAGTTAACATATCTGCAGGTAGCATTTGGTTGTACAGGGAGTGTGGAGTTATGGCACAAAAATCCACAATCAAATTCGGTATTATTCGAACTTTTCATTAGGATACCACAACTAATTGATAACAAAATGTACAGGTTGTTAAATAGAATGAAGTTTTTTTTCTTTCCCAAATTGACAAAATGAATTACAGAGCAGAATTTTAGTTATCATACCGGTAGAAACGTTGAATTGTATCTGTTACATAATTCAATCTTTGCATTTCATTATGTTTGAATCTAAATCTTATTGTTAAACATTTCTGAAGCCATTTAGAAATTAAAGCATTAAATGATCCTCACATTACAAACTTCACAGCCACCAATATTCACACTACATGACCCTAAATCTTGAATCCTTATTAAACTTGTGCTACTTATATCTTGGTATATCTTTTTGCCAGTGAAAGAACCACACAACTAGAATAACTGCAACAGTATGGCTTTTGATCTCCAAAAGCACCTTCCTTTAACTCTTGACATAAACTATACTGTAATCATGTTTTGAGACACAATTATAAAATAAAAAAAAATCAAATAACTACACAGATAACCCTTAGTGGGCTGTTCAATTTTAACTATTATATACCATTAGGTTGGTAGTCACGAACATAAAATAACACACAACGATGTATTTTGTTTAGCTACATAGCACACATGCAAAATCATTTTTTTCCCATAGCACAGTTTCCTATTGTCATTTCAAGTGACTTTACTTTCTTATATATGAAAGAAGCTGGGAAGGGTGTGACAAAGAACAAATCAGCCTGACTGATAATAGGCTTAGTAAGAGTGGATTACAAACAGGATAGACTGTTCAACTGACAGTAACTGTAAGTGCTCTGTTGAGGACTGAACAGTATTTTAACCTGCAAACCCAGAATTATGGATAGATAAGTTCTTGAAAGATTTAATGTCTGACCACAACACTGAACAGGTAATCTACCACAAATGATAGATGGTGTTTAACTGTCTTATGAAACTATTCAAAAGACTTTAAACTCGATGCATTAATTTCAAACATAAAATGCACCTCAAGTGTCAAAATACTCGGTAGAAACAGGTTTTTCCTTAAAAAGGTTCTCCGCAACTGACAGAATTTGTATTAATGTAACCTAGCATCTAGATATCACCACAGGAGACTGATAGATATCCTTTGCTGGTTACATTGTCTTATTCGGTTTTATCAAATAAAAGACTTCAGATTGTCAACCACGTCAATTGTCTTATCACCTTCTAGTAATTTGTTACTTATTGGCATTCAGATGTCAATAGCTTAGACTAACTTTCTTGTCAACCTCTGCCAGGAACGGAGGGTTTCACACAAACCTTGCTTGAATTAGAAGGGTCAAAACAAATGAGGTAGTAGGCAGATTGGGAAGCCAACCCATCTAACAGGATTAAAAGGTCGTGTCCTCATACAGTTCATAGGTATCTAAACCTTCAAATTAACATTACGTTTTATCAGGTAACATCTGATATCTCTTTAACAATGTTCTGCATTCAAAACCATGTCTGAAATGCACGACTTTATTAAGGTTCTTGAGTTTGTGTAAACTTTTGGTTACATGCACATCCTGCATCAGTAATGAATATCTAAAAATCAAATATGTCTCAGTTCAAAACACTGGCCCAATGACCAACATGATTAAGTTGTTTTGGAATTATCTGTTTTTATCCAGAACTAAGTAATCATACACTACATTGAGATATAATGATTTATGATTTGCTGGAACTGGTTTTAACATGACAGGAAGTAACACTTTTAAAAGACTGAAAAAACATGAATACTACTACATTAACTAAATAATTGTTTTTCAAGGCATCCAAAGTTGTACTGTAGGTTATATGCATCTTTCCCTACATATCTTACAATTTTCTCTTTATTCCATTTTGTCAAATTAATTTTACATACAGATCTGTGTCTTTGTTTGGTTTCATGCCCAAGTTGTATTAGAATTAAATATAAAATCTTTCCTGTTCTTTATCAAATTGTAGAGTACGGTGCATTTTTTAAAATCAAATTATCTTCAACAGAAGCTCAAAGGAAGTGTATTTTGAGAACTGTTAGCCTAATTTGACCATTTTAAGTCAATATATTCCAGAGAGAAAATCCGGGCTTTCTACATTTAATTTCATATTGTTGATGTCAATCCTTATTGGAGAAACTTGAATGTCATAAGGTACAAACGACCTGATTGGATGATTTGGCCACTGCTGATAAGCAAAAAATGCTTTTGATATAAATTAACAAAAAAGTTCCTCCAACAAGTATATCAAAAATAAATTTCTATAATATGATCACAAAAAAAAGAAGACCATAATATACTTCAACAATTAAGGTCTTATAAAACATTTCAACAAACTTAAAATGAAATAAAACATTATCCTATCTAACCCACCCATCCCACCAGGTTTTTAAGTCCTCCCACCCACCCCTCCCAGTCAACAAGCCCAGGAATCAGGTAAAACATTTAGTCTTTCCAGGATATCTCTGCATAATTTTTATGCAAATTACAAATTTGTAGGTAACAGGTTATTATAAAAGTAAAGGGTTTTTAAAACCAAACAAAGCACCCTTATCCCTGCATGCCATATCATATCCATTAGTATTTCAGATAATTTTTTTTTTAATTCCCAATCATTAAAAAAAATTAAAAATTCAGCCCCTTTGTTGTATGACACTTTAAAAAAATTATAATTCTTTGCTGCTCCTCTTTGGTTTTAGGGTGAGGTTTGGCAGTGACGCCATGGCAATAAACAATTGTATTTGGAAGCTTCAATTGGTCTGGCCTGGACGAGGAGGTTGAGGAGTTTGTTGAGGAGGAGTTGTTACGAGCCCACGACGCCCTACTCCACGAGCATTTGTCTGACTGCGGGTTACTAGGGTTCTGATATGGCGCTGGGCAGCCTAGTAATGAAAATTGAAGACTGTTATTTATGTTTTAGGGAGAAATGTAAGGTAATAAAAACTTGTATGTATTTATCCTTTACAGGAAAACAACATTCAGCTAAGTACACTTTCATTACATATCTGACCAAAAATAAGTTAATAAGGTTAGTTACATTTACAAACCACAAAATTCTACATGTTCAAGATTCACATAAAATTTGGTTCTTGTTTAAAATTTTCATCATACAGATCATGAATTTAAACTAAGGATATCTTCAAGTATGTATACATGCAGAATATTCCCTCAAAAGCCAATGAATCTCCAGTACATAAAACTATTGTATTATTTTAATTACATTTATAATGTAAAATAGTTTTTAAAAGGATTTTGAGAGATGTAACAATTATTGAGTTTGACTACAGATTTATCTTCTTTAAACTGGAATACATTATTCTACAAACCAAATTATTAATAAATACATGGAGAGGAAGGAATTATGAAAGTATGATTTTAACTTAAAATAAATTAATTAACAATTGTAAATTTGCCAGAAATAATTGTTTTAAAATTCTAATTCTCTGCATCAATATTTGGTCAAAATGAGAAGACTGTTAAGAACTTTTACCATGATGAAGTCCCCGTTAGGTTAACACTGAGCTCTAATCTTTGTCAGGATATTTTTATCAAGAAGACTTTCTGAATAAAGTTTATTGTCTTTTCTAACAAATTATTTAATTTTTTTCAAACCTGCTAAAGTAGTTGAAATAATTTTAGTGATTGTGTAATTTACCTGAGAGCTGTAGAAATCTCCAATGATGTGGACGGGTATTTCTTCTGCTTGGGTGTTCTGGCTTTCTTCGGGCAACTTAATCACTGCTTGAGTTAACCGCTGCATTTCTCGAACCTAAATAAAAATTCTCAGCTACATTAGCTAGTGATTTCTTTGAATCTACACACTAAATGTAACTTACCATAATTATTTGTTTAATAAAAAAATTGTATCCTAGAAAGAGTAGTTAACAGCATTGTTATGTCTTGAGTTTCATCTTAAATTTATTAACACACAATTACTGAAATCTCCAACTAAATTTAACTAACACTTCTTCATGTAATGACAATGTTGTGTAAACAAATTGCCATTCTGTTACCTTGTGCATTACAAGCTACATATTCACTTCAATTAATTTAAGTTTTTCCATTATAAATTGTTTATAATTAAAGACCTTTATTTTGAATAGCGATATGTTATAGCCATTAGGCTGAAAGGAACTGATTGTCATGAAATTTCTTGAATTAATTTTTTCAATGGTTTTAGAGTATTCTTTTTATTAATATGCTTTTTTTTTTAAAGATTAACAATATCAAACAGTTTTCTTTGGCATTAAGTGATTGATTCTATATTCCACTGCATTTTGAAAAGCCCCCTAAATATTTGACAAAACATTTTCAAAATTTCTGAGAAAATCCAATTGCTTTGATACTTGTGATATCTCTAGACCTTTACAAAACTAAATAAGTAAAAAAAATTAATTTTAATCCAAAGACTGTTTGAAAACTCTGAAATTATACACATTTTTATCATTATCATCATTTAGATAAAAGGAGTCCTCAAAGTACTATGACATAAACAAAAGTGTATTTATGACTTCAATTACAGTCCTCATGACGTGACTGTCAAATATGTATGTTTGGTTTAACTGAATGAGCATGGGGTTGGTCCAATCCCTGTATTGGAGAAGGAATGTTGACTACAATTCCAAATTTACTAAGTGTATCTATATGAAATGTGGCAAGTTTTTAGTAAAATGTACAAGTCTGGTATACACAAAAAAATCAGATGTCTTACAAAAGTATTTGTACTCAAGATATGTCTGAATTGACATCAGTTTGAGTCAAACAGGTCGTAGTGCAAAGTGATGTACATGTAAAAAATAAAAATACTTTAGTCCATCGTACAATTTGCACAACCTCTAGACCTCCGAAATGCGTATCTACGATTTTTTTTTCAGTATCTCTCTATTTTATTGTGTCCTCTTCTACCATGAACTGTCACTAAATCAGCAGTTTAGGGTAAAATAACTAGTTGATAACTATGAAATCAAATACATTACACCATGCTCAATGACATGCACATTTTCACTGCTACTTGTGCCCAAAGGGTTAAATAAACAGTTTTCATAAAGCTATTGTCAAAAAGAAGTGTATATTTATGGTTACTAACATACAAAACCAAACACATGTACTCACTGTTTGTCCTCCTTTCCCAATGATACGACCAACTTGGGATGATGGGACAAATATTTCTACCCTGAGACGAGCTTCTTGGGGTCCAGAATATCCTTCAAAGCTCACCTTCTTAAAAATCATAAACTGTGCCTGTTATAGAAAATAACATATTGTAGATCACCAATCAGAACAAATTGATTACCAATTTTCTTCAAAGATCATAAAGGAAACAGATTTTTGAACAAAAAAAAAAGTCTTTAGAAAGTTTATATTTTCCTACATTTCTCCTGTATAAGATGCTACTCAAAAATTATAATGCCCCAGATGCTTAGGGCATGTAATGAAAAATATGACATGCCCATTTGGGTGTGTAAAAAATTCTCAGTACCATAAAAACAAAATGGTTTAAGAGAGATTTTTGTTTTGTATTTAGTGACCTACCTTCCACTGTGATTCAGGTGTGCCTATAATGGTTACCTTTCGTTCTGTTTGTTTGTCTAAGGGTTCATCTTTATTGGGCTGAGCAACCTGCAAAATATGACAGTAAATTCATGATCATTAAAGAATATATATAAGAGAAAGACAATGATTTAACAATTTCAGCAAATTCCTTAAGCAGCAAATTACTCTTGACTTTGCAATATCTTGCAAAGCTTAATTTACAATTCAACTTAACAGTTATACATACCACTAGTGTTAGTCCAAAGTAACTACAAGGGGACTTATTCTACATATCTACTCTTTGCCCAAAAAGGGAATAACATACTGCTACTGTTTTTCCAAATTAACCTCAAAGGGAATTTCTACATTCCACTATCGCTTTCCCAACTATTAACTGTTACTTCATAAAAAAAGTTGAGTGAATGATTAATAGTTCAAATTAAATAACTTAACAAAAACTATTAATGATTATATTTTAAACAAAACAGTAGAATTACTTATTGTTGAAGTCATGCTGAAAGAAGAATCCGATGAAGGCAGTACTTGAAAAATAGTCTTGTTATGATGATCATTAACGTAATCTAATATTTAACCTAACAACAGACCAGGGACTCCACATTAACTTTATACATAATGTTATTGACAAAGAGCTGCAGGAGTCATGTTTTTAACTTGAGCTTTTTAACAGTTTCACTTACCTTTATACTAGCTCCAGAGGAGCTGATCATATCTCTGATGCTGGAACCTCCAGTACCAATGATGGCACCAACAGCAGAGTTCGGAATGTACAAGAACACCTGTTCCTTGCTTGGATCCTGCTGCTGTGATGACACAGGTCCTTGGGGGTAGTTGACAGGCATATAAGAAGGAGGAGTATTGTACATACCATAAGGTGGTGTAGCTGGTCCACCACGGGGGGCTGGAGGGTAACCAGGGGCCCCCATGGTGGACATCATGGCCATAGGGTGAACCCCAGGGAACATGAATGCCTGGGGAGCCATAGCAGAAAGGTCATTCTCATAGCTCTGACGAAGTTTTGCACTGATCATTTGTTCAGCTTTACAGATATTCTCCAGTTTTCCAACAACAGTAATCGTTCGTTCCATGTTAAAGCTGTTAACATCGTGGATGCTACTGTACACAGAAATAAAGGTTACAAGAGAACATGCCATAGATGCAATGTTGGTCATTTCTTAGTTTTTCAAAATAAAACCAATAATTTTTATTGCATTTAGGTGGTATTGTTACTGGCCAGAAATGTGAATCTTTCAACGTTCAAATTAAAACAAAACTGGAAAACTAGTTAAGTTACTGTCTAAATTAGGAATGTTTTATCCTATCGTAATATTAAAATTTTTTAATGGATTAACAATACCAAGATTCCCCCCCCCCCATCAAGTACAAAATATAAAATTACACCATGCCTACAATGACAATTGATACATTACTAACTAATCAAATCCATTTAAAAGTATTCTTTATGGTTGAAAAATATTTGGATATCTTTCTAGTTCTGTTAAAATAAACATATAAACTGACAATACCTGGAAACAGTTATTTTAGTTTCTGTTTTCTCCATTATTCCTTTGATGGTGTTGCCATTTTTACCAATAATGCGTCCAATCAAGTTATTGTGTGCTAATATTTTTAAAGGATTTTCACTAGAAAAAGACAAAAAAAAATTTCTTAAAAAATATGTAATATTCAACATTATTGTACCAGTGCTCAACCAAGAATGAAAGATAAATTAATACTGGATAAAGACTTGTCAGGTTTGCCATTACATTACGTTTTAAAAGCTTAATGACTTAAATAATAGGTAAGCATTTCTTTGTTTCATTCATAATTTCAATCTGATATAAATACACTTTTACTTATTTCAATTTAAAAAGTTTTCTTTACAAAAGCTTCCAATACAGTGATATTAAGCACAAACTCTTACCTTCGGTTAGTATTTTCGGCCTCTTGCTGCATTACTTCTAAGATTTTCTGACATGCTAATGAACAGTTTTCTGGGTTTCCATATATGGTGATTACCTACGATTAATTATACAGTTATATGGACAAAAGTCAAAGTATTTTAAGAGAATAGAAATAACTAAATAAAAGTTATCTTGATTTATTACGTTGTCATTAACAAACAAGAGAAACAAACTGAAAGTTTTAGTAAGTTTTGTTCTGGACCGTTCTTTTAACTTAATATCTTTTTTTTTAAAAGTTTGTTAACAATATTTTTCAAATTACCATGATCTGTATAATGAATGATGTATTTTCATTTCTAACAAATTTTTTCCCTTTACAGTTTGAAGATCTTTCTTGAATGGAAAATCAGTATTTCAGACATAAAACACCATAATGAACAACTATACATCATCAATACAAATCTCATTTGATCTTAAGCTATGTTTATTTCACATATCTGGTAGCCTAAAAGTGGCTGTGTTGATTATAATATTGAGCAGTTGATCATGATAAAAGAGAAATACTCAAAACTACAAGAATAAACAAGTATTAGACTTATTATATTTTTAACACTACATTTTTATTTATTGAGTCCATTAGGATTTTTCATGCTTTAGTGTCTTATGATCGATCATGCCATAACAATCATATTAGTATTATTCATTAACATATCAAAATTATAATCAACACTTCATTTCAGAAACTTATGTTGACTTAGTGTGTTTAATAATTATAAATTATTTGTTTCTACACTGAAACAATAGGTGATTAAATGAATGAAAATCACCACCTTTGGAAACTACAGAACCTTACAGCAAAAACAAGATAATGAAAGAAAATTTGAAAAATTTAACAATTAAGTGCATTTTGTAACTTAAGATCAAGGATAGGTATGACTTAATTATACTTTAAGAAAAAATAGGTAATTAGACTAGAATTTTATTTTTTCTCACTCCAACAATTATAAAAGGACTCAAAACTCGATTATACTTACTTTTTCAAGGGATCCGGCATTTTCTTTACGATGAACATCAACTCTGTATTTATTTTTTAAAACAGAAAAAGGAACAAAAAGAAATTTTTCATTCTGCATTATTCATAATATATTCAACAAAATATTGTAACTTGAGTTTAACAAGAACCATGTTCTGTTTGTTACATGTGTGCCACAAACATAATTGTTAGGTTTATAGTTACATTAAATGGTGTTTACTGGATGATAGAATAAACATACATGTTAATTGGTGCAAGTCAACTCATAGCTACAAAGCTGCTAGGCTTGTATGTCGGTGTTAACTAGTACACATCAGCTGTTGGGCTTGTAAGTTTGTGTTAACTGGTACACATCAGTTGCTAGGCTTGTAAGTTTGTGTTAACTGGTACACATCAGCTGCTAGGTTTGTAAGTTTGTGTTAACTGGTACACATCAGCTGCTAGGTTTGTAAGTTTGTGTTAACTGGTACACATCAGCTGCTAGGTTTGTAAGTTTGTGTTAACTGGTACACATCAGTTGCTAGGTTTGTAAGTTTGTGCTAACTGGTACACATCAGCTGCTAGGTTGTAAGTTTGTGTTAACTGGTACACATCAGCTGCTAGGCTTGTAAGTTTGTGTTAACTGGTACATATCAGTTGTTAGGATTTTACGTCTTTGTTAAATTGTGCATGTAAGTCTTAGTTTTATATATACAAGTTACTTTGTGTGTTAACTGCTAAATTCATACATACATTAATTGGTGCGTATTAGCTACTAGGTTTTTTTGTTATGCTTGAGGAATTCTGTTTCTATACTTAGTATCGTCTCTGAACAACACCCTTCTTCTTGGTGATAAATAATTCATTGTGAAATGACCCGAGTTTAGCTCATTATCAAATGAAAGAATAACAGGTGTGTTAATGATGCATTTTTAATTCAGGAGTGTTAATACAGTTGGTCAGATATCAAAATTTAATCCTACTTTTTTCTTCCTTCAAAAATTACTTTTATAGCTGTTTGAGTTTTCTATAACTATGAATAATATACAAACAGGTATTTATTTATAACATTGTTCAATCTGGTAAAACAGTACATCATGGCAAATTAGAATAAGAAGAACAAATCTGAAATATCTGGTTTTAAAAACGGTTTGTTAAAGAAGCGAATGACATAGGAAAGGGTGTCCACAACCAATGACAGTGATATCATGATGAGTGCCTAAGCCTTATAGCCCATTCTTCCACCACTGATGGTGTTCTATGTAATGACCCTGTGCAATATACTGAGATCAGTGTTGTCTTCCTCTTTTCTTACATTTTTTCTAATGTCCATTACTCATAAATAAACAAATACTCCAAAGACATAAATGTCCGTAAGAAATGCCTATTAATGGTGTACTTGTCTTCTGTAGAGGAACCGACATGCTTACTTGGGTATGTGGCTGGATGCTTTCTCTTGATGGAGCTACACCATATTGGCATCCAGTTTTTACAAAAAAGGTACCTGCTTTTGTTATTAGAGTTTGCAGTTAGCAACAGTATGGAGAAATTGACTTGGCATTCTCTTAAAGTCTATACATGTTTCAATTACCATTATAGCTGTAACCAACAATAAGTCCTTTGGAAAATTTCTGTGATATACTCTTCATCACATTTAAAATGTTGCATCACTGGTAAGATAAAATCACCTTGTTTTTTGTAGACACTTAATGTGTGCTTCTTCAATATGACAAAATACATTTATTTATCACATGCCAGATACCACTTGTACAACTTTCAAAGGTTGATTTTCCATTTTGTTTAATGCTCTGACAAAAGCCCATAAACACAGCTTGCATCACTTTTGTACATCTAAATTCAATGTGAATTATCTTGTATATATTACCAAAGGGGATTACTAATTTATCTACAATGAACTGCTGTAATCTTCAGTAATTTCTATGTCTTTCTTCTACCTCAGGTGTGAAACAAGTGGCTGGTCATGAAGTGTCTGTTTTGCCCCACTTGAATCATGCCTATAGATATCACCTTTCATGCTTTTATACTTGAAGAATGGGAAAACATCATTTTGGAAAGTTTAATGTCACTCTCCTAAAAGGAATCTATTTCATTTGCAAATCATCACACTTTAACAAAAGTGCAACAATATTATCAGAACTTTATCAAAGTGTAGTCATTGGATAAGGAAACTGTTACCATAGACAACCATTTGTAGAAGGTAATGAGAGTGTTGCACACTGGTCAAGAGACACACAATTGAACTAGTCTCTAGCTAGAGTAAGTTCACTTTACTTTTGATTAATATGCGAGATGATTATACTCTTTCTTAAAGATTTTTGAAGAAGCTAAACGTTTAATTGTACAACAATTAATTTGTAAAACTTTACAAGAAAAGGCTAACTTGCTAAAATACAAATTCAAGCAAGAATTCAAATACTCATATTTTGAAAGGAAAAACCTTGTGTGTTAATGTAATTCTTACCTGGCTCTTGACTGCTGGGTTATTTGTCTTATTGTGCCTCCTGCTCGACCAATAATTGCACCAACCATGTCACTTAACACAAGGATCCTAAGAGGTATAATATTTTAAACAGTTACCACAATTCTTTACTTGTGTGCGT